GACCGGCATGAAACTTTATTTTAAATAAATTATTTTAAATTATTGAGCACCTGCTGCACCTTTGTGAAGCCCACGCTGCAGGATAAGCTTCCTCCTGCAGCTGATCAGCTGATCTCTGTGCAGAGAGGAGAAGTGGGCGTGGCCGAGAGAGCTTGCAGGTGGCTGAGAGCAGCCGAGGCAGGGAGCTGAAATCATGACATTCTGTGCTCTTTTAGAGCGTTTAGAAACATTAGTTAGAATATTGCAAGAGTGTGGGAAGGAGTTAAAACGCCTGTACTGTTCCTACTTTGCGTTTTTTTCCACATATCGCGGGGCTTCAGGGTACGGATCCCCCGCGATAAACGAAGGACTAATGTGTAAAAATGTATTTAAACTTAAGAAAATAAATAATGTCAATAACAGAATAAAAGTGTTAAAAAAAAACAGGAAAGAAAACTGAATGAAAAAGTCTGAAAAATCAGAGATGTCAAATGGGAAAATAATGAAGAAGAGTTGATAAAAAAGCATCTGTAGAAGAGTTTAGAGTAAAAATGGAATAAGAGGTTAAAAAAGGTTACAAATGAATAAAAACAGAGGAAACGTGGAGTAAAAAGTTAAAAAAAGAACAAAAAGCAAAAAATGCATGTGGAAAAAGGGAAAAAATAGACTTCAAAGACACAAAGAAATTATAAAAACTGAAAAAAAAAATCCTCAAATAGAATCAGCAAAAAAAAAAAAAAAAAAAGACACGAGGAAAGACATTGAAATTAAACTTTAAAAACTTGAGTTAAATCAGAACCAATCTGAGTGAAGCAAAACAAAACCAATTCTCTGGATGTGAAACTTTAGGACTTCACTGCATCTCTATGAGGATTTACCTGCACAGGTGAGTCACGCTGCAGTTACACCTCCACAACACCAGAGGCAGCAGACGGTCTTCTTTAAACAGCTGAAGGAGATGGACCTTCAGCTGTTTAAGCACATGGTTGAAGGAGAAGTTTTATTCAGTCGTTTCTCTACTTGAACCTTTAATTTGACTCGCAGGTTGGCCTTCAAAAGAGAAATCAAAGTTTTAAAGATGTTTCATTTAATCCTCAGGTCCTGGATCAAAGTCCAGATTAAGTTCTGACTGATCATGACCTCCATGAACACCTCCACTCTGCCCGCCCTCTGGCTTCCTTCAGCTCCTACCATGCAGAAACATAAAGCAGAAGAAGAGCTGTGGTGTTTAATATTAGCTCAGGATTAAAACTGAAGACAGCTGCAGCACAGCTCTGGATTTACAGCTCACATTTCTCCTCCGGCACCACCACCATCACATCTGAGGTTTCACTTCCTGCAGGATCATCGACTAGCATCCACATCTGCTGATCCAAACGCTTCGAAGCTTTTAACTCAAAACAGCTCCCCGTGACGAGACGAACACAAAGCATCCGGATGGGAACTTCCTGAAGATGCTGAGGCTCAGCTTCTCCACTTTAAAGACCTCATCCTTACTTTCTGTGTTCCTGTGGTTTCATTTTCTGTCCATACAAGCAAGCATCTCCCAAAAGCATCACAAAAGGCCTTCTATAGGTACACTGCGGACATGTGCGCAAAAACATGGCTTCATCTGGAGGGAAAATGGTTCCAGTTTCAGACAAGAACAATGAGACGAGCCTCAAAGGTCTGACAGGAATCAGCTGTTCTCATATTAAACTTGCTTTGAATAAAAGCAGCAGAAACTCATGGACTCCTGTGTTTAAATGATGCAAAATGTTCCGACAAACCTCAGAACTCATGGAGCAGCTCAACTAAAAATCCAAGTCTTGGTCAAACTTTACAGCCTAAAAACATGGTGGCCTCAGCTAGCTACCGTTAGCAACCGTATGTTGTACATGTATGCAACAGGTCTCTCTTGTAAATGAGTCCCTGAGGCTCAATGGGATCTAACCTGTATGAATAAAGGTAAATTGAATGAATGAATGAATTAATCACAAAGTTAACTACAACGCTAAATGTTACAGATAGTGAGAAGAAAATTAGAGTGGTAGTAGCTGAGAGTCATTCACATCATTCTCCGAGCACTAATACAATCTTTGCTTGAGACGTAGAGGTGGAGAGTTTCATTCTTTCAAAGCATGCTAACGTCATCTTTGCCACATCAAAAAAAAAAAAAGACTAAATGTTTCATTATTTTATGAACTCTACCAAGTGTTAAGTTTTCCAAGTTTAATATACTTGGACAGTATTGTTGCATTTTGAACAAGCATGGCAGCTACGTTGAAATCGTGTTAAATTATTATAAATATGGACGTTTCTGTTCAGTGTCCTGAGACGACTTCTGTTGTGACTTGGCGCTATAGAAATAAAACTGAACTTAATTTCTGTAGCGCCAAGTCACAACAGGAGTCGTCTCAGGACACTGAACAGAAACATCCAAATATAAAAATAATAATTGAACATTATTTCTCTGAGGAGCAGACTGCTTTGAGTTTAACTCCATCACAGAACTCTCATCTTGAGCAAGCATGAAGGCGACAGTGGAAAGGAAAAACTCCCTCATGAGGAAGAAACATTTAGCAGAACCAGACTCAGGACAAGCATCCATCTGCTTCGACCGGCTGGGTTTGAGAAGAACAGATACACAATGGCAGAATAAGAATCACGTTAAGATAAAAATAGTATCAAATGAAAACTATTCAATTTTAACAATTCATTTAAGGAAATGAGATCAATTTGTCCTCCAGTACTCTAAGCCTACAGCAGCATAACAAGCCAACCCTAACTATAGGATTTATCAAAAAGGAAAGTCTTAATCCCAGTCTTCAAACTGGACAATGCGTCAGCCTCACGGACAGAAACTGGAAGTTGGTTCCGCAAGAGAGGAGCCTGATAACTGAAAGATCTTCCTCCCGTTATGATTTTGGAAACTCTAGAGACCACGAGAGAGCGAAGTGCTCTGTTAGTAAAATATGGAAAAATATGCAGTGTTTCCCCAAGATAACGTGACGTGTCTGGGCGCTCACGTCATCCATGATTTTTGTCGACAGGGTGTGGGGGGAGAAAAACACAACTGAGCGGCGCGTTGTTTGAACCGGCAGTTTTTGACTGTGAGGGGGAGGGAGGTTCAGCGTGAGGGCCTTTAGCTTTTTAGCTAGCGCGTCTGTATTGCGCACCGCTAGCTTAGCGTTACGCCAATTCCGACATGTGGGCGGGGGGGGGGGGGCAGTTTGGTTTGGTAGGCGGGATGCTTGATTCTGTTAACAGGGTAGGGCGCCCCGCTTGTATAATTGTAGAGGAAACACTGATAAGATCTGTACTATAAGATGGAGCTAGGTTGTTGAGGGCTTTGTAGGTTAGAATGCAAGAATATTCTTAAGACAACAGTTTGCAAACATGCAGCACATGTTAGCTTCAGGTCGCCCCACTGAAGGCAACAAGGTTTTTCTTGTGCATGTTGCAGATGATGCGACGTTATTCACGATAGACGCAGGACGTACACCGTGTCCATGTTTTGTTTCAATTCATTCTGGGACTGACTGATACCATTAACAGTCTAAACGACCCATATGAAAAAATAAACGCTGCCCACTTGTGTTAAAAGTCCATGCTAGCTTGATGCTACTGCCATGTGGGAGGATAACGGGGTAGCAGCTGGGAATTTAAACTTTAGATGATTGTCCAGTTTGTTTTCATCTTTAATCATTTCATAGAAAACACAAACTAAATGTGATGACCTGTGAAGTTTGAATCCAATAAAAAACATTTATGGACAACATAACTGAAGATCAGCAACTTAAAGAAGAACAGGATGGAGTCTGCTCAGGCCAACGCATCGACCCGTCAAATCTGTGATCTGCAGAACTACTGATTTCAACTTTAATTCACTTGATTCATCAACAAACACTGTTTTTATAGATGTGGTCACTTGTGTTCAGCTTGTGAGCAGAAAACAGATTAAAGGCCAAGAGAGAAGCTTTTTATACGACAAAACATTTTACGGTTTGTTCATAAAAGACGTTGAGGGTAAAGAGCAGCGTTATTGTCTCCAAACTTTGACCTCTGTTTGGGTTCAGCTCATAAAATCCAAACAGCAAAAACTCACAGCAGAACTTTATGGACATTTACATTTGTCTGAGAATCAGATTTGATGCTTCAGCCTGAACAAGCCAACACCTTCAGGAGACGTCTTCAAACCTCCCATCAACAAGTCCACATCTGTCTGACAAGTGGGCCTGAGGAAGAGGAGGAAGATGAAGAGAGAAAACTGAGACTGAGGCAATCTGTGAAGAAATGGGGGTAGATTAAAGAAAAGCTCAGCCTGGATCTGGTTACATAATCCACAGGGTCTCAAACCCGGTCTGGAACAAGAGAACGCCTCAAAGCTGCAGGTTCGGTTCTGAAAATCAGCAGAGTCACTGCAGGGACATTTAACTTCACCTGAACAGGCAGAAAACTGACCGGAAGTGGAAAAAACGCCTGGCATTCGTTATGACCTCCACAGCTGGCAGGAAGTGAAACATGTAGGTTTCAGGATTCAGAGCTTCAGGGTGAAATAGAGACAGAAAGCAGGTCGGGGGGGGGGGGGGGGGGGTGTCAGAGGAGACTGTTCTACTGTTTTTGTTCTCAGGTCAGTCAGGCGACCACGCCTGCATCATCATCATCATCTCAGCCTTCATCACCACCACCACCACCATCATCATCAGCAGCAGCAGCAGCAGCAGCAGCAGCAGCTCAGGTCAAAACAAAAACATCCATCAGTTCAGGGAGGAGACTAACAACAAAGTTCTGCAGAACCATGGAGACCAGAACCATGGAGACCAGAACCATGGAGACCAGAACCATGGAGACCAGAACCAGGCCCTGTGGGTCCGAGTTCTCGTGCACCAGAACCAGCAGCCACGGCTTGCTCCGTCATGGATGCTGCAACAATAAACTCAGAACAGACACCGCATGATGCTCCTGAAACCCAAACACACCGAACCGAGCCCTGCAGGGAGGCTGGCGGGGCCGAGGCCTGTCCGCGGGGCGGAGCTCACCTGGAGGCCGACGAAGGCGCTCTGAAGTCCCGCTCGGAGTGAAGGACGACCCGCCGGACCGCAGGCAGCTCGGAGCGAAAACAACCAGCAGCTCAGAGTTCTCACCAAGCCTCCTCCTCTTCTGTCCCCACCTCCTCCTCCTCCTCCTCCTGCCCGCAGCTCGGCTTGGACTGCAGCGCGTGGAGCGCTCGCTTTATTCACCGGGACGCACCGGCAGAACCTTGGATGGATTCAGGTTCACCGCAGAGAAACGAATTTGTTGATTTGAACCAGTGAAGCTGTTTCCATGATATTAGATGTATTTTTATAATGTCTCGTGCCAGACATCAGTAAAATCTGAACTAAATGAAGGTCATCTCATGAAGGACTGTCTTTCTTTCTCCTGCCGGTGTTTAAGACCGAGTTTGAAACAAAGTTCACCTTAAACTGAGAAATGTCCGAGTTATAGTCAATTCTGTCAAATTTTACAAACAGCATTATGCACACAAGGTCTTGTATAATTTGTTGGCGCTCGGCGTATGTGTTGGGGGTAACTGCCAGCTACTACCACACTATAGCTTGACCTATGTGCAGTATTTGTATCTAGTTGTATAAAATATTACACAGCTTTTAGAACAACAGGCTCCCTTCCAGACAAAGTCTATGTCAGAGAAGACCTCGTATACTTCAGTTAGAGAGTGCAACATCTGGATCAAGAGCACACATCGCTGATGATATAGGGGTGCATTAGTGCCTGTGACATTGTCCTTGTTACAGTTATTAATGCACATGCTCAAAGTGAGTATTGTGAAATGCTTTGGGATCTGAACAGTGTTGTGTCTACTTCTGGTTTGTTAACCATCGTTCATAACTCTGTTCAGCTGCTCTGCAGTTGTTCAGACAGCTGGGAACAGTGCACGTCACGCTCACATCGCTCTCAAACTATTTGGGGTGGGGTGCCCAATTTTACGCATGCACATTAGTAACTGTAAAAAGGTCATTTGACAGCTACACACTGCACCAGTGATCCCAGAGGGTCGCTCTCCTGCAGGTTTTAGTTGTTGTTTCCTTCCTCTTCAGCAGGCCTTCATCATCTGTCCAGGCCAGTTAATCACTCGTTGAGTTAAAGCAGAGAATGTTCTCATCTTGTCTCCTCTGCGTTTCAAGTAACTAACATACTTACACTATAAATACATTTTAAATGGAGTGACTTGTAATGAATTACATTTTTAAAGCAATCTTCCCAACACAGAAGAAGTTTCTTCTGCTCAGACTCCGGGCAGTGATGATCCAGTGGTGGGCGGAGCCTCTTCACAGCAGACAGGAACAAGAATCTGTGTGAAACTGGTTCCATTACAAACTGACTTTGAATGGTACAAGTTCCAGCCCACACAGAGCTGTATATTCGTTTTTACGTTGTCTTTTTGTCTGTAAATTAATAGTAAATTATCTGCATGTTTTTCTGCATTACAAGCCTTTTTTTGTAGAACAGTTTTGTTCTTAAATACTGTTATAATTGTTTTTAACTTTCTTTATTAAAACCAATTATAATCCAGTGCATTTAACTATAACTGTGACGAGAAAATATATAACATGCTGCTGGTTTAAAAACTTGGGATTTTGTTTGGACAGTGCCATTTACTGTGTTTTTCAGACTTTAAGGTGCACCGGACTCTAAGGCTCATAAAGAGAAACAAAGCAGTCAGATGAGTCAAACTTTATTCAACTCATTCACAATAACCACATAAAATCAGTTCGAGGTCAGTAAGCACAACCAGAATTAATACATAAGGTGCACCTGATTATAAGGCTCACTATCTATTTCTGAGAAAATTAAAAGATTTTAAGTGTGAGTTATAATCTGAAAAATATGGTAAGTTCTATTATTTGTCATACAACAAAAAACTGCATTACATACATATATATATATATATATATACATATACATATATATATATACATATATATATATATA